TACGAAAAATGGTAAAAGTGAAGCTGAAATAATTGAAAAAATAGGAAAAGGGAAACAAGTTACAAATCAGCTACACAATAACTTATGTAGCACACAAATAAGACCCTGCATGAAGATAAAGATATACATGTCTATTGTAGACAGCATTGTTACCTATGAAGCAAAAGTGTGAACAGAGCTACTAAAGAAAAAATTAAGAGCAACTGAAATGAGTTATTGGCAACATTGTTGTCAGCTCACGATTCAGGACAGAATAAGAAATGATGTATTAGCAAGACTAATACATAGGGACCACAATTTTAGACACTGAAGAGGCAAAACGCCTGCAATGGTTTGGGCACGTGCTTTGAATGGATGAGGGAAGGTGGCCAAAAAAAGATCAAATGCATCCCTGCTGAAAGAAGAAAAAAATGAGGGAGACCGAGGACACACTGAAAGGATACAGTAAATAAAGTGATGGATGGAAGAATCCTACAAGAAACTGACTGGAAAAATCACAGAAAATGGAAGATAGGATGTGATAAGCGCTTCTAAGTTGTAATAAATTCAAAAGGTTTAAAAAAAATTAAAATAGACAATAGATATTCAATTTAATAATTAAAGCAAAATGCACAGATTATGAAAAGGGTAAAAACCAAATGAGCTTATCACAAAAAGTATTCAATAGGTAGGTATTCAAAAGTAAAGCCAATTTGAATTGGAAATATTCTTGTGATAAAATGAATTATTTACCTCACTAAAATACACACAAATGGTATTTTTCCTTGTTCTGCATAAATGGTATTTGAACATAAACAACTGAGGAAGACATAAAACGTGGATTTCCTACATCTAAACTGTTTTTAAAAGATATAACATAATACACTATTTTATATTAATTCAAATTACGAAAACTACTTGTTAGTTGTAATTTAACTAAACAATTAATTTTATAATGAAACCGGAGGCTTCTGTGGCCTGAGTCAATAGATATTTGGGTTCCAGGAGTTACCGCATGCTAGACACAGTTGTCAATGTTTTTGGAGTCATCTACAACATTCCTCATTATGAAATGCATTCTACCTAGGGCATGGTGTCGCCCAGACAGTCAAGTATTCAATTAATATTATACTTGAACAAATTTCTTTCTTCAAATAAGTAATTTAAAACTGAAGAAATTAATTTCAACAAAAGTATTTAAAAGATGTCGGCTACTATTAAACAGAAAATCACAAAGAATAAAACTACAAATAACATAGGATGAAGATAGCAATTTGGAAGTTAAAGACATTATTAAAAGAAATACATGCTGATTAATAACATAACTGTAGAAAATTACTTGTCATCCTAAGAACAATAGTGTGAGTTGCTTTATTTTAGTACTTCCACCATGCATTGAAGGCAATGACAGATGCCAGACCCCATACTAATCAACACTATATCAGGCATGGATCCACGGAGAGGGAAATCCCCCCCCCCCTAATATTTTCCAGTAACAATTAATTTTAACTTGTCATGAAACTTTCAAGCAAAAATATTTTTTTGGATAATTATGAAATTGAATAAAATTGTATCGCAGCAAGAGCTGAGTGTGGCCCGCGACAGTTAACAAAATCTTTAATGACACGTTAGACTAAAACATTTTTAATTTCCCCTCCCAAAATTTGGCTCTGGATCCACACCTGAGTATTTTAATAATATTGTTTCACTTGGAAAGGATTGTAAGATAAGACTTCGTGGAAGCCATGGGATACAAAATGTCAATGCTTTTTTTGCAGTCCTCACAATTAGCCACAACTGAAATAAAATTCATTCCTCCAGCAATAATTTATTTTTAACAGAAACGTTATTGAAGATCAATTCAAGATAACAAAAGCATGGGGAATGTTTCTAAAAGAAAATACAATACAGAAATATAACACATTTACAGGTTTTAGAAGAAGGCACACTGGAAATCACTCATGAAAAGATATAGTAGGAAGTGTAAGCTTCTGATTGTATTAGTTTATTTTGTTTCTTTTTGAAAATTGTGATATAAAAGCTTTGCCAGTTATTTCCAATAGCTGCCATGCAAGGAAGTCATAATTTTGTAAATCAAAACTATTTCATCCCAAAAAGTATATCCCATGCCAGAACTCAACCTTGCAATATCTTTAAATCTTGACAAACAACATCAATCTCACAAACTGATATGAGGTTAGATAAACAGTCAGTTATAAGACAAAAAACCAGACCAGTAACCCACCAGTAATACTTGCTAATTATCAGCTTTAGAGATTAAGCCAAATGATTTCTTCTGATTTCACGTATTTTAATTCTGCATTTAAAACTGTCATTTTTGGGGTGGCCATCACTTCTTCATCCTTTAGATTTGTAATTGAGAAGCTGTTTTGAATTGTGACAGTCCTCCATTCTGCACAATGTTCTTAACTATTTACTCTATTTTTCCCTTTTATTCAGGATGTGATGTCTAGTGTTAAATGTAAGCATAATTTTGTAGACCTTTCTCTCTTATCCCATTGTGAGTCAACACATGTAATCTAATTTTTTGTTAATTGAATTTGAAGTATTTTATACAATTGGCTTCTTTCCTCCTAGGATACATGCATGAGCCATCACAGCAGAGCAGAGAGAGTCCAATGTCTGCATGTTTATAATTTTTCTACCATACCTAGCAACATAAAATATTTCACCAACTTCAGCAATACATTCTACTGTAGCTTCTGTCTGATTAAACTGATTATTTTAGACAAATCATTCTATATTGAAAAAGAACTACAGAAATTTTTAGGATTTTCTCTTTCTTTACCAAACTGGATGAATGTATGACATCTATTAAAATCACAAAGGAAAATAATTCAATGCTTTTGATAAATAGGATTTCTCTTCTTCTTCTAGAAACAAATGCCTTGATACAAAGCTAATGGAATTAGCAATACCAATTGATCTATGACTTTACCTATAATGGCAACACTAACAAACTTTGTAGCAGTATTTACTACCATGACTTTCATAAGCACTGTGGGCAGACAATTGCGCCAATCTTAAGAAGCTGTATCAGCACTTTTGTGTATTGTTGATTTTTAATTCCTGGAAACCCTTTTCCTTTTGTTGTGGGCACTTCTGGCCTTGCAATTCCAGAATCTATTTTTCCCTCTGTCCCTTGCAACTAATATCTTATAAATGCATCACATTTTGAAAAATTTGACACACACAAAAAATTCAATGCCAGATTGATGACAATGCAACACTACTAATTTCAATCACACAAATATAATTTGAAATAATTGGCTTTTCAGCAGGTGTAGATGCCATCCACAATTTGATGTTTTCCTTTCTGCCCAGAGAAGAGGGTAAATGACAAAACATACAGAAAGAAAAAAAAAAGAAGAAAACTTAATATTATCATGAAGGTACCTCTGACATGCAGCTTATAATATAATTAATATCTGGATTTACAAAACATAATATGCTCATGCACTGGTAAATGCAAAATTAATATTGCTGCAGCAATTCTGAATGAAACTTCTTTCTTATTGAATTACTGTTTTAAAGTACAATGCGAAATCGATTAACCTCTACATATATCTACCACTTGCAAAATTAAACTATAATGTAAAAGAATTACACAATAAAAAGATATTAGAAAAGATTCCACTAAACAGAATTCATGGTAAAGCCACAGAAACCAATGCAAAGTAGTACTTACTATCACAAACAAAACCAGACTGTACACAGGGATGACAACACCAATTAGATCAAATATGTTATGCATTTCTTGGGACAGTTTTCTGCAAATCACTCAGAAACCATCTGATAAAGTGAAGATCGTATGCCAGAACATCTGGAGAAATTTGGCTCTCAAAACTTGCAATTAGTTACTTGTAAGCTATTATATAGCCAATTAATTTGGTTGAAAGTTAACACTGACTGAGCAATTTTATGAGTGTCACATAAATCAAAAAAACACATTATGATTTACATTCATTTGTTCTAACAGCAGCAATTGCATGTGTTTGGTCACTGTTCATAACAGTGCATTTTAAATAAAAAAATGTGCCTCCACATTTATTCAATGTTTTTATGCATTTAAAATATTTATTTCTAATTGAATGACTGAATAATACAGGTTGTAACTATACTGCCTTTGAGAGTGATTTTTCAAATTTCCCTTTGAAATGATTCCTAAAGCAAATAACTGTAGATGTTGTTTCAGCTCTTTAGTTCAATAATACGTTTTGTAAGGCCAATAGGCCAACTCTTTCCCATTTAAATATTACGTAGTTTTGTTACATTCAGGAATTGAATGTTAGCCAAAACAATATCACCTAAAATAGTTCTGGAATAGTAGTTTAATACTTTTAAAAAACTTTTGATCAATATTGACCAAGATATGTTGCAAAATCCCTACAAAGAAACATGTGCACTTCAACACATTTAATTTTTGCATTTTAAAGTGTATGTCATGATATATTGTGTCTCTCTGAAAGGAATGTTATTATGGGCAACAAGATCAAAAAAGAAAAGGGTAAAATGTCATTACTTTCAGTTACTAATGAACACATGCATATTATCAAATTGATAATAATCATCTGTACAGCTGGCTGGCTACATATTTGATAAAAAAAAGAAGGATCAACAATTAATAACTATATATCTAAATTCTGTACTTCAATATTTGTCTTAGAACACAATTTCTTTTATTCTTTAGTAACATATATCAGTATCATCAACAAGAAACAGGAAGAATTACTTTCAAAAATAACTGTCAACATGAAACAGAACAATATAATAGGCAAAAAGGGCAAAAAGTAACATCCTCTTACATTTGCCACATCTTAATGGATAACAAAAAAGTCTGTTGGTAACAAAAATAACATTTTTTTAAAGACAATGCCACATTAATTTTTCAAATATAATGCTTGTCCATTTCTGTACTTTCATTTCCCAACTAAATTCTCTTGTTATAAAAAAAACATTTGCAAAAAATTATTATTATCATGTACCTTCCAGTAAATTCCTGTTTCTCGCCATCTTTCACCACAGAGCTAATTGGGGTTAGTTTTAAACAATGAAATGCAAAAGATAAAGTTTTTAAGCAACAACAAAAAACATAAGTAACAGGACAGTGGAAAATAGCAACTTTGAAGCTTGTTTTCACTTCCTGCATTTATAAGTCACTTTGGGTCATCATAACATTGTTGAATTTAATCACTTGTACATTGATGGACAAATTTTAATGACATGTTCATAAGATATTCAAAGACATTTAATCAAGGGCACAGTAATAAAGTTCCTTTTTTTTACTTGCTTCCTGTCATAAATTTGTCAGGAACTGATGATGTGACAGAAAATGACAGCAAGAAGCTGACCTTTAAAAGCCAAATATACAGCTTTTAAGATCCATGCTCACACTACTGTGCATTTTATCAAACGTGCACACACTGATATACAGATGACAAAGATGTACGCATCACTTTTTCCTCAATTGGCCTCCTGAAGCTTATGTTATGGGCCTTAATCAGGAGCTCCACAAAGCATGCAGTAACATTTTCCACTAAACAAACTCATGAACAAATTTACTGACAATAAAGCTGGTAATTAATGCCACATACAGTATTCAGGTCATCTGCATCTTTTTGACCAATTTTGTTTCACCATTCGGTGCAAGCGAGGTGTCATTTGTCACATCTTAGTCCATTGGTGGAGAAGTGACAATCCTTCCAAACCAGTCTATGAGAATGAGCATTTACAAAGGTGATCATTAGCTCATTCAGTTCCTCTTGACAAGACATTGACACTATTTTTAGCCAGATCTTTATAGAATATTCTGGAAGAGTTCTAGAAAATGGTGTTTTGGGTATTTCAAGGCACCTACAGTGGTGAAACACTGTAAGTTACTTCACTTCCTCTACAGCATGACATAAATCAATATAATTTTATTCATGAAACTGAAATAATTTTGTAAATAAAAACCTTTTAAAAGAAAGTATATGTATTTATAATTTTTCATGAAACTTTCTACCCAAGGATTGACAAGCCAAGAAACTGTGTTATTTTTAAAATGTCTTTATATTCTGAACTTGTAAAGTGCAATTAAAGGGTTTTATAACATGAAAATATCCACCAGAGCCACCAAACTAAGCTAGTAATATTAAATAGTTGAAAAAGTACAAGTTGAAATTACTTGCAACAAAACAATATGAACTATGAACAGAAAGATTCTTACGTCTCTTAATAATTGTTTCAATACTTATTTCTGTTATAAGTACCTAGAATTCTTCCAAGAATGTGTACTGAACCTCAGCAGCATTATAGCCATTACTTGTGATTTAGTTTTGTCAAAGAAACATACTTTCAAATAAGTTTAAACTAACTGACATTTGAAATAGAATCATAAACTTATGAGGCTCTGATTTACCTGCTGATTCAGTTTCTGTTACTGGAATGCTCATCATGATGCGTACCACACTGTCACTATAAAAGTGAGGCTATCGGTGTAGTAAATCTTGTTTAATTTGGCATTTGATCACAATTGCTTGTCCCATTTCTACAATATCTTGTGAACACTCAAATAATTAAGTCCGTTTATATTCAAATTAACTTTTCAATGTTATGACAAAAACACACAATACTTCCTTTCTGCTTTATAGTACCTTATTTACATCTATGTTTTTAAAACCAAGCACATAATTATTTATCATGGCAAGGCAAATAGAATCATTATCTTTTTAAAGCTTGAAAAGTCATAAAAAGTTTGAGGAAGTCATAAAAGGACATGAGGTCCTTAACCTCCAATATGATACAGTTTTGATGAGAAAACTAAAAATTTACATTAAAAAAATTAGAAAAATTTCATATTTACCACTCAGTTCATATCATAAATGTAGAATTTTCTTTGGAAAAGAGTGTATTGAAGAATGTGCAAGAGAACCCTACCAAACAAGGATTCACTTAAAATAGTGGCATACATGGATAGTCACCCTGGTGATGTTGGGCCCCAATTCCTTGTGTTTGAGTAGCACTAGGGACTACCATTGCTGCCATAGATACAGGAGGAGGAGCCGTGTGGTAAGGAGCTGCTGGATTAGCATGGTGGAATCGTGGATCCAACATCATGGCAGCCACAGCTGCAGCTGAGCTTTGATGGTGCTGCGACCGTGCTGGAGGCAACATGTGATGATGTGTTGGTGGCTGATGGTGATGCACACTGTGATGTTCAGATTTTGATGCACTTCTGGTATTCAATAATTGATGATGATGAAATTCTAGGGGAGGGTGGTGAGGAGTCTCAGTGAAGGCAGGATATGTTGGTTGCTGAGGGGGTGCAGTAGTGGGGGTGGAGGTGGATGCATTCATCTGATGCTGCATCATTAAGTCTAAGTCACCATTTCCACTCACAGGTTGGGTTGGATTTCTATCTACACTAGCAGTGCTACTATTACTGCTGTTGCTGCTGCTACCAGTATTGAATCCACTTGCATTTTCCTGAAACAATATTACATTAAACCAATAAGGCAATGGATAGTTTCTCTCTAAGACCAAATAAAAAAAGGAAGACACCACATGAATAACCTTGGACCAAAATATATCACAACAAACTTTTAAGTATTATAGCAAATTAAAAGACAAACTTTATAACATTTTATAAAAATTAATTTTTTCATTGACAAAGTAAGATGTCTGCATCAGATATTTACATATTTTAATTTTTCATATTGTTTATTATGACAGAGTATCACAAATGTAATAAAAAACAACCATTACAAACATCATGAAAGCTTAAACAACTATAAATAAAATAATCTACATTAACACAACTACAGTATTATAAACAAACTTATTATTGCTTTGTGTTCGCAGGGTAAAGTTACAGACAAATTTTCTTTTAATGTTTTCTTCTTCTTTTTCTCTGATCTATTTATAAAACTCTTTGAGCACAACTCAGAACTCTATTAACCCCTCGACTCTCTTTCTCAAATACTTATGTGGATTCTGTTTGGGGGCACTTTTAAGCCCAGATGTTTTACACGATAATTTACAAGTATTTGATGCACAAATGTTATTTGGAATTATTAATTGAGAAAAACATGCTATTTATTTGCTTTATTTACTATATTGAACTAACCAGCAAAGAAAAATTGCTGGAGCAGCCAGACTGTAAGAGCAGAGATTCTCTAGAAGATCATCAAGACTAAAACTAAGTGTTGACATTCAAAATGCAAAGGAAATGCTTCAAAACTGAAATCTGAGATGACAATATGTTGAAGGCAACAGCATGTAGGAAGACATTTGCAGATGAAACTGATTACCAACTTGAAATCAATTGGGCTTCAGCTTGAATTCAGACCTGTGTGTTTTTATACAGTGTCGCAGGTTTCAGTTTATCTGTTTGTCTATGGCGAAGACAATGTAATTGCTTCAGGAGACCCAGAATCACCCTTACAACTAAGAAGAGAGCTGTTGAAACAGGTTTCTCGTGAAGGACCTGAGACACATCAGTTACTGCCATGGAACTGAGCGGAGCAAGAGTTGAATCACCTTCTACCAGAGTATATACACAAGGGATATCCATTCTTGATTTCAAAATGGAAAACAGAAAGATCTTCAAGGTCCCAATTGATTAGGATACCTAACTGAGCAACTTAATGCAAATGGCAAGGATGAAAATTTTCCATTCAGAGAGCTGCTTGGTGCCCTCATGTATGTTCAGGTAGGCTCTCATTCAGACATTGCTTATCCAGTTGGAATATTCAGCGTATTCAATAACTGTTTTGAACGGGCTCACTGGCATGCTATAAAACATATTTTGCATTACCTTGAGGGAAACACCAACCTGAAGATCACCTATTCAAGGGATGACAAAAGAATCATCAGTTTTGAAGATGCTGATTAATAAAAGTGCAACAATGATAGAAAGTCCTTCTTAGGGAACAATTTCAACTTCTCCAGGTCTGTGATATCTTGGTGCTCTGGGAAACCGTGAACTGTGGCGTTAGCTTCAACTAAAGCTTGGGACAAAAGAGTTGGGAATCGAGGAACTAACACGAATTAAAAAGTAATGACAACCTGCCTGCTGAAAAACCGGACAACCCACACTACCACACTAAATTAAAACATGATATCACATATTTCACTCCCCAATCCATTCAGGATCATTCTCTGAATGTCAAGAACCCACCAACAGATGATACAATTGCTGACATGTTGACTAAAAAAATCAGCAGGATCAAGCACAAGTTTTGAGTCAGAGGACTGGGATTGTAAAATATGAAAACAAATGTGAGTTAAAATTGCCGGGGGGAGGGGGGACATTAGATTCAATTGAACCCTTGCACAGTGCATTGGTATACAACCATCACCTGGTTATGACAGTTGCATAGCTTCCCTACATAGGACACTTATTTTCCTCTTTCTTTTCAACCATGCCTTCCACATGTATTAGTGTTGTATTCCCTATGTAATGCTGTGTTATGTGTTTGCTCTTTCAGTGGATTATGCCCAAGAAGCATATTTTGTTTTTTGTAAACTCTGACCAACAAATTTTATTCAATTTAAATTGATTTTAATGTCATGTTAAAAATTAACCACTTTGTTACAGTTTATGAGCAAATTATTCCTCACATCCAATTCATAAACAAGTTATTGTAGCTGTAAATATTAAGACTAAAACACTCTAAAGAAAGCAACAATCAGCTTTCCTGAAGTTTTATTAAGGCAAACAAGTTTGTGTAGTTAGATTTCTCAAATCTATACTAACTCTCCTAATAATATCATGCATACACATGCACACAATGAAGAATGAATAAACCTAAAGAATAACTACAAAATGAAGAATGAACTTAATGAAATTTCATTAAGTACAGAATACAAATCCATATCTACCCACTTACTTGGCAATTTTTGTTAGATGTTCTTCCTGAAGATAATCCTCTAATGGGTCGTGCTTTGTAAGGAACTTTAGCAGAAGCATTTTCTCCATGATGTCGGCCAAAATGCTCTTTTAATTTATCTCTCCTTGAACTTGCATAATCACACTGAGTACACTTAAATGGTTTCTCCTCTAAATGTATCCTCTCATGCCGGACCTATTGACAAAAGGTACATTGTTGATTCTTACTTTTGCTACACAAATGTAACAGAGAGAGTGCCAATAAAACCATTAACTAAAATTGAGAAAATGTTGTCAACCACTTGTTGGCATACTCATAATTTTTTCAAATTATTCATAATTTAACTATGTAGGCCTACATAGCAAAGGGAGGGATAGAGATTCTGAAGCTCAATAAAACATGCAGAAATTGTATTTGTTCCTCATATATCATACACAGTTTTCATTGCTTTTAGTACAATAAATTTAAAAAAATATTAAAAAACAACAACAAAAAAGAAACACATCACAGTTTCTTCTAAGGGTCACCACTTAATTTTCAAATAAAAGTACTATCAAAGTTTTATTTTGGTGAGCAAACAAAGACAAGTTTCAATTTTTCATATCTCAATTAAATTTCAGTTGGATACAGAAAAAACTTGAGTACTTCTTTATAGAACATTCTTATACTTTACAAACCATGTTTGGTTGCAGTTAAATACACAAGGGAAAATTCAAATTTTTTGGAATTCATTTATATTTAACTGGCACTAAGATGTCAGTACTTCTGCTACCATATAGATTAAATTCTTGTAAAACTGCAAGTGAATCCACAATTGCGATCAAATTGAAACATTAAAATCAAAAAAAATATTTCAAAAGAGGACATTTATTCTTAATGCAGACAACTAATAAAATTAAGTTATGTCTAGAACACAAAAAACTCTAGATGACAAAGAAGCCACATCTTTTAGATGTTTTAATTCCTCACAAAGGAATTATCATCAAATAGGTGAAAGTGTACATATAATATTATTCTGCTCTTTTGGAGTGAGCTCTCAACAGGGTTGAACATTACAAGTCCTATTACGATTGACTAAAGCTAAGTAATATAAGCCATCTTGTATGGTATCTAACCTACTTGAAGGGGCTTGTTCTAATCCACTTGGGTGTCAATGACAACTTGTAAACAAACTGTTGGATTAAGGATAATTTTGTGAACTATTAATCCTTTTAGTGTTAATCTTTGTGAATGGGATGACCGAGGTAAACATGTGGTAATGAAATGATGCAGATGTTTGAAAAAATTAGTTTAATTATGAAAGTCAAAAGCAAAGTCACTTATGAACTCTGGAATGGCATCAATTTATTGTTACTTGTATGCATGTTCTTTCAATTTGAAAAGGCAAATGTTAAGAGCAGAGACAGAAGTATGAGCTAGATGAGAATAAATTTCAACTACTTCTCCATCTAGATTCAGGAGAAACCAGACTTTCTATAGGAAGGGGAAAACAAGAAAGAAATAAAAGAAAAAATTCTCATGAACACAGAATAGGAAATTTTAAAATATGAAGGGCCAAGATGACAAAAATATCTTTCTTCAAGTAATTCTGACAGAATAGTAATACTTTTTGTCTGCTATTCAATGAACTTCGATATCTGTCAAAAGCATTAGTGGTCAAACCATTAGTGAACAAAACCACACAAAAAGCTTTTCCAAAACAATAATTCCAAATTTCAAAAAGCTTTTCCAAAATAATCAACTCATCTCATAAAACATTGTAATAAATGAAATATTTTAACAAAACAGTCTTCTCAATTACTGTAATAACACATTATATTCTTCTAAACAGAGAACAACAGTTATTTACATACCAGAATTACCAAAAAATTGCTATTCCATAATGCAACATGTAAAAAGCAAATATTTAACACAGGGTGGTTTCTTCCTTGGAACCTTGCTGTTGTATGACATCAGATACATCATAATCAGTAAGCATTGAGTATGAGAATTAAGTAAGTACATGCAATATGAGATAACACAGAATAACACAATTAAATACATTAGTCGTATTAGTCAGCCATCAATTGACTGTCAATTATCCGGACATTTTTTCTTATATAAATTGGGTTCAGTTTTGGGACAAACATTTTCTGAGCTGAAAATCAAACAAGGACTTGAAAAACTTAGAGACTTATATAATAAATTTACACAACAAACACACTACTGTTTCTTGACTGTAGAATGTCAAAATGTTAATGTTTCTATTTGAAATGTTTATTAATTTCAAATAAGTTCTTATTTTATAATCTTTTCATTCACTGTTTTTATCATTCAGATATATTATTTATATCCTGTGTTATTATTTTTTCCAGCGTCCAATTTTACTGTGTATATCTGCGTTTTTTATCTGGACAATTTCAGTACCTGGACTAGGGCTGGCATTGACTATTCCAATTAATCAATGCTTATATTTTGTCCATCAGAGATAATGGCACCTGGAGGCCCTGTTGGGAGGAGATAGACCAGAAAAACGGTTGGCTAGAGATACACAGGTGTGATGTCTGGGTGAACTTTTCATGGCAAACTTTTGGGCTCATTATCTTGGTATAAGAGTTCCTGACAGCTGTCAGGTATCTAGATGTTAATGGGACCACGTTTATCTGTTCATGTCAGTAGTGTTCTGCTAGCAAAAGACACGTCCAACAGAACAATGTGCCACAGTGCTGAAGTTATGAAGGAGTAGGTAGAGGAACATGATCGTATACTGACATTAATGCCTTGAGCTACAAAAGAAGCCCAGACATAAACCATATAGAACATTCATAGTTCAACTTGGAGAGGCGATTTTGTTCTTAATCATCACTGCCTCACACCGTATGCCAACTAGAGGATTTGCTGTTAAGGTTGTGATATCAGATACGCCACAATAACTTCTGCTTCTGCGACCAAGTTGAAACAATGCTCTGGCTATAATTCTAAGAGCCAAAGATGATCCTACACCAACTTAGGCAGGTGGATATAATGTAATGGCTCATAGCTCTATTTCATTCAATAAAAATACTAAACATTAATGCTATTTTGATTTACTGCATACTGTTTATTTTTTCTTTCAATGATATTTTTCTGACCATTATTTACATCAAACCATAGATAAAACTTAACCATGTTCTATGGGCTTCCTTTGTGCTGACAAAATCAAAATGTTTTTTACTTACCAAGTGACTCTTCTCTAAGAACCCACGACCACATATATTGCATGAATGTGGACGTACACCCGCATGCGTCCGAGCATGTGTTCCCAGCTGAGATTTCTTTGGAGTTGTATACTTGCACTGAGGGTACTGACAACGAAAAACATCCCCTGTAAAAAAAAAGTTGTCAGGAAATAAATGCATAATATTATATTTGGTCTAGCTAAGTGAGTATCAAATTGCACTTTCTAGACACTTTAAATCCTACATTGTAATATTTAATTCAATTTAATGCATATTGTGAAAATAAGGTGTCACAAAAGTTGGTCAACAATGGCTCTGCATTTCAACGCTCCAACAGAACATGCAGTGTTGGAATAGTACACAGAGGCAAATGCACAAATAATGACTAAAAATGTCCAAATATTGTCTTGAATATACAATATTGAAGCTTTCGCTAATTATAATAATACATGTTTATGGCATGACTAAAGTAGAAAGTGATGCACGCTATCAAAATTGTTTTTTTATCTAATGATTATCTAAAACCGATTTTCTTAATTAAAAATTAGAATTGGCTTGCAGTTTAACTCTCCAAAGCACCTACAGACAGGATTTGCGATAGTAAATATTGCTCAAAATTAAGTCACGCATAAAACTATTTGAAAATCTAAATGAAACATACTGACCTAAAAGTTCCCAAGTCAATTAGAATGGTTGGATGTTTACTAACTTACAATTATCTATTGCAGAGCTAAATGCAAGATTGTCCATTGCCAAAATCACATAACGTAATAGAGATAACATAACATCATGTTATCCAAATTTGATTCTAAATTCTCTTACTTTGTCTTTCATAATACCTGTGAACTACTTGGTCCTAATAATGCACTCATACTAGAGTAAAATTATAAACCAAGCTGACAAAAAATATTTCTAAAATGCACCTATTTCAAACTTTATTGTAACTGTTATACTATTACGTTTAATAATTATTTCAATAAAAATATATTAAGGGCACTTATTTTTTATATGATGATCTGAATATTAGAAGCATCAGTTAATAATTATGAAAGAGTGGTTTTAAATAAGGTTTTGAAGTTCACACAACATTCCCAAAAAATTAATTTTATTGTCAGCCAACCCCACTTGAAGACAGCACTAACTCGCTACATTATCCCTAAAAACCAAAAGCAAAATGTCATTTTCAACAAGCGGTTTTCACTGTTTGGGGCTTGCGTGATTGTGCTCTCTAGCACTTCTGGCAAATAAAAACAGCTAAGAGTGATGGAGTAATATGAAAATATTGGTGATGGCTTGTAAGTATGCTTCATGAATGAATTGTATGTCTGAAAAACTGACAATTTGGATTTTTAAATCAAATACAAAGATACAATTTTCTATGAGAATGATAAAGTCTACAATTAACCCATTTTAATTTTGAAAATTCTGAGCAACCCCCTTAATTGAAATCACCCACTGCTCCTCCAACTATACAATAATTAACTACTTCATATTCAGAACATATATACCTAAGGTATACCAAAATATTGACAACGGTTAGGTTTGGTATATACTTTAGTAATGGGCTAATAACTTTAGAACTGATGCACCAGACGGAACATAATCTACAAAATATTCTATATCAGAATGAAAAATAATATAATCTAAAGTAATTAATGAAATCACTGAATGTGAAGGTAGTCAGAGCACAAACCTTAATAAATCACTTGGATCCTCACAGGACCTTCCTACAAGAAAATTAGGTACATCACAGTTCACATAAACATATTAAGAATTTTCATGTAATAATGACAATGACTGCCTCCATCTTTGAGTAAATGCCAAAAAAAGGATCTCAAACATGAGTGATTCATTTGAATAATATGTACTTTAGGTAAATAAAAGATACACCACAGTTGCACTTACCTATATTTGCTATCACTAGGGTTTTCTTTTAATAGTTTTAAAACACCAAACCTATTCCAGAGAGAAAGAAAGAAAAATGTGCCACTATATTTAAATTATTTTAGTCAGAATTCTGAATTTGATGGGCATTGTGTGTAGTAACTCAATCCTTAAGCTATTCTCTCTTTTAATGACCAAGTAAACAAAAATGAAATTATAAGAAGATTGTATTTGTCTCATGATGTTCTCATAACATCGTTTGATTTTCTTTTGTTATCATAAGAGGTGTAACTACTGTATAAGTGTACATCCTCAAGAATGTGTACATTTCAACCAAATTGTAATGAATGATAAAATTTATATCCTATTTCAGAGGAAAGACTTGATGGCAAAAAAACTATTATGACTAGGTATGATAAAAAATACTATCCAGTATTATTATAAATGAATAGGTAATTAAATATTGTACTTGCTGAATCATTTACTACATTATAAACATTTTTATTTTGTTAGTATAAAGATGAAATGGATACATTCTCATGGGCATACACATAACAACTAAGACTAACTAGAAAAGAGATCTTCCTTTTTATTACATAAGGTTTTTTGTTTAAAGTCTTTAGTTATCTAAACCTGAAGTTTGATGACAAGACACTTTTTAATAGAAGCATTACAGACACTACTACCTCATACATTAATTCTCATTACAATTCCCAGATTATAGAAATGAATTTTTATTTTAACTATTTATTTGTAAATTCTCTCAGTATCAAATGGGTTAGCATTTCATTTTTGAGCACTTTGTAATTCTTGGTGAAACTATTTTCCTTTTTGTTATTCCCTTTCAATTCCCCATAACAATGATTCAGAGCTACAAAGAAATAAGAGAATAATAAATCGCACATAAATAATAATATTAGACAGCATGGAAATTCAGTACATTCAAGGAAGTGTACAGACCAATGGTATTAAAAATTAAAATACTTAGGAAAAAAGAATGATCTCTGTGATATACTAGAGCTTCTTCACGTAAACCATCAGGTAATGTGAAGAATACGAAGAATTATTTAGATCATAGACGATGGGTTACTGGGGATTGTCATCAACTTAATACCCAACCCTGAGAATGGGATATCATACCGTTTTCTGGGTATGAAACTTTATTTTCCTCTTATAAATGGGACAAATTCATTAGATATAAATGATGGAACAAATGAAATTTCTTCCAAGATGAAATAAATTGCACAATACAACTATTTTTAAAGAGTATACACATGAAAATTCATTTAAGCTAACTACATAATATATCTGCTAAATAAAATATTTTAAAAATAAATATTTTCAATGAAAGTTAATTAGCTCCCAGGGGGAAATAAATTCCATTACTTTTGGAAGCATTTTCATGGAAATTTGAAGTAACAATTTAAAGGAAACCATGAATTTGTTATTTGCCATTTTATACTATTTCTTCCTTGTGAAGAAAAACAAACATATTTTTATACACACCTAGCATACAGTTTGACAGGTGTGTCCACTCTCTAAACTGCTGCTACTATTTTTTCAGATTTCAGAAGATTATTAACTATCATATAGGGAGAGATAGACAGATAGAGATCTAAATGATGTCTATATTATTCTGGTTGCTCAAGAGATGCCAAATTCTGAAGAAATGTGCTATGACGTAGTGTCTCCTGGACCATCAAATTAATACAGATACCAGCAGTAGGACAACTAGCAACATCTAAGATGATGTCATTTAAAACCAGTTGATACCCACTTCTTGACACCCACTGGAGCAGAGAACACACAACAGACACCTTACACACAATATCCATAAGAGAGTGGTACTAGAATTACCTCCAGAGTAAATGCCATTGTAATGTAAAACATTACTGCACATTATCACAGCAAGGTCTATCATTAAAATTAAATCAAAGCAAATTTTTGGAGGCAGTTTTATTCTTCATGAGCATTGAACTTCATAATTGTCATCTTTAACAAAACTCATTATTGTAGCAATCGCAAATACTGATTTGTCAGATCTGAATTCAATATAATTTTAAGATGCTCTCATTAGATAAGTTTCACGCAAGGAATAACTAGGCTAGTTTCATCAACTTAACAGTGCATTTAAGGAGGAATGATACAAGATTACATACAAAACTCAAACAGCTTTAAGGATGAGAAAGCCAAATAGGTGCACAGTGCATTACTATGCCATGTGATCATGTTATTTATACATCTGATCATAACTTATTTATACATCTGATCTCCTACTGGCATCCAGGAGGAGATTACATTTAATTTCATCAAGCACAAATTCACATTTCTTGTTCTGCCTCTATTCATTATGAAAAATGAAGCCATTAATACAGTACAATATCTGCAGTTGTATATGATTTTTTTTGCGGACTTGGATAGTGTACATAACTGTATTTGTTTCCTGGTAATTGTCAAGAAGTGGCTAATAAAATATGACATTGGAGATTCCAACAATATAATGTACTTCTTTCTCAAAGAAAATTGATGGATCAATTAATATAAAAATTAAAATTCACAAAACTTATGAAAATTCTCATAAACAATTTCACTGCACCAACTGCTAATTGTATTCTCACAATTAATTTGCATTTCATGACTTCTAAATACACTATGTAACTATGTAAGTATAATACAAAATGTTTACAAATACTGTAAGACAGCAAGAATACAAATCACAATTTTCTTTGATATTCCAATTGAACATTTTAAATCTTAATCTGTCCAAATTTTGCTGTGATGTCTATTTCAGCAGTTTGTTAAGAAATATGGCTTCTTAGAGCAAATAAAACCAAATTCAATTAATTTTCTGTTGTTTTTTTTCTCGCAGTTGTTTTTTTACCTATTCTTCATCACCTCTTCAAGATTGTAGATTAAATATATTATAAAAAACGTAAATAATAATCAGAGCTGAAGTAATATCCAAAGGTGTTCTTAAGCTAAACTACTAAACTCTGGGCTACCATAAGTATAAAAATGATGACAATATGTAATCAAAATTATCAGAAAAAATAATTATAAACTTTGCAATTTATAAATGTTCTATTACCTAAAATACATTTGTTAAAAATCCCCAATCCAGCAGGGCTTTAAGTATGTGCTAGTCTTAATACACCACTCATAATGATCAAAAATTTAAACATAAAGTTACAATGAATTTATTGTTTTGTTCAGTTTCCCTGATCCTTTGAGCAAATGCTGAGATGGCCCCTTGTTTGCTCCTGAACAGTAATATAACTTCGCTCTCTCCACCCAAGGCATCATATTGACTCGTCATACACAATTGTAATTGTATATGTGACTCAATAAATATTATTATTATTATTATTATTATTATTATTATTATTATTATTATTATTATTATTATTATTATTATTATTAGTATCACTTTGTCACACAAAGATACTTGACGTATGCAATATTCCATCATGTACAATTGGACAATGGTTATCAGGGACAAGGTGAACACAATGACATGATATCATTATGTTCAAAATAGTGGAAAGAAAATTAATTGCATTGCATCTGACATGTTTTCATATTCATGTGTCTTTGTCCTAGAATGAACTGTTCTTTTTGTAGTAAATACCACAAAAATAATATTTCCTAGTAAATCTAGAAATTTTTTAGGATCATCTTAACTGAAAAATTCATTGTAATTAGACTGGAAACGTGAATAACCATAAGTACGTGGAATTTGAAGTCTATTCTATCTTATCCCACCTGAGGAGATAAACTTCTATTGAATTTTTCCTGTAAAGCTGTAAATTGGTACAAGCTACATTGGAAATTATGTGCATGTATATTATCTCTTAGCTGAAATGTTT